CTTTAGACTTAACTTTATAATGTTGAATAGCGTTAGCGAGATCCATATCTAAGAAAGTTGCATCAGGGTACTTTGCTTTCAGTAATTGACTCTGTATAGTAATCGAAAAATTTCTATTTTTTGTGTAAAACTCAATGTCGTTCAATGCTTTGTCTCTAATTGACCTGAACTTAGCATTGTATTTACACTTTTCAGGATCGAGTTCATAGTTGTGGGTATTTACAAATGTTATAACTGTAATGTGATTGGATTTTTTAGGCAAACTTAAATTGATATACCATTCACATCCTTTACATTTTGATTGTTGGTTGTAGTGAGTGTTAATGTTGATACTCTTCTAGGTACATATTTTCCTCAAAACTTACAACCAAAAGATTGATGTCTAATTACACTGTCATTATGCTGTTCAACTCTTATTTTAATAACAGCAAACCCATGATACTGACCATAAGCTTTAAAAAAAGCTTTAACATTATCCCATGAAGGGAATGTATAACCAAGCTTTAGTAAGGAAAAATCGTATTGCGTTTCACCTAAAAAATAAGTTTGCAAGCTTGAAATGTTAAAGCTAAACCTATAACAAACCATAACTTCATACTACAGTATTACCAATACATATACTGTTAATATCCTCAGTAGTTGCTTCATTGTAAACCGCATTTTTGCAGAGGGCGTTAGTCTCAGTGTCAATTGTATATGAGCTATTAGGTTAAACATTAACCACGTAGGAGGTACTGAATTCGGAATTTACTGTAACAGAGGTACTGGCTTTAGCAGTAAACGCGTAAGAAGTGCTAGTTTCAAGATTTGCCACTTGATTAATCATAACCATATAAGGGGTACTGGCTTTTGCATTAACCGCATATGAGATACCAGTATTAGAATTAGCCGTGTAAAAGGTACTGGTCTCAGCATTAGTCAGTTGAGAAACTATATTTAAATGTTGCTTCTACCTGCTCAATATCAAATTTATTAGTTTAGAAAAGTGCAATAGAATATGTTACTCCTAAGAACAGTTAAGAATGTTGTCGCATCACGAAATCAGTTAGAAAAAGATACAAGGTAAGTTCCG